AATTTTCTTTTAAGTACCTCCGTCTAATTTGCTTATCATCTAATTTCTCAACCCTCATTTTTGTGCATTCGGCATTTTGGTAATTTTGTCGCGCGATTCAGAGATTTTTAATTGAAATCAAAATGGAGAAGATTGACGACGCATGAATTTTTTTCATGGCATTTTTTTTTAGTATATCCCTATATTTTTCTTGTGACTAGAAATACTATTTCGGCATCTGGTTTTAAAAATAGATAGTTTTTTTTGAGTTGATGATCGTTGTTCAGAATATTATATAGATCGTAATGATTTTTTTAACGAAAAATCTTAGAATTTGTTCAGGCTCAAAATTTCTTTTAAGCCGTTTGATTTTTTTTAAGTTCATATCAATTCAATGTTAAAACTGCACTATCGAACAGCAGACGTCTAAAAGCAAACAAAAAATGTGATCGACTTCTAGTTTTGAAAGTGGAATTTAATGTTTTCATTTTTCCCAGCGAAAGTTTACCTAGTGATCCAGTTTTCTCAAATTGGCTTAGTTTATCACAAAAAGTGTTTATCACATATTGTTGTTGAATTTGAAAAAGCTTGAAGGCCATCTATTTTCTTTTGAACTTCGAAAGTTAAGATTTTGTCAAAAAATAAGTCAGTATTTTATCTGTTTACTTGCGTTCATTGACTCTTTTCCAACTGTATCTTGGCTATGTTTCTGTTCTATCAGAGATATCATGTATTTCCAATACAAAATACACATAGTTTTCGAGTGTTCTGTGAGACTGTTCTAACTATGAGAAAAAGTGTCGTGTCGATTAACTAAATAGCTATGCTGCTTGTTTTTTGTTGCCTCAGCGAAAAACCCGTTTAACTTTTTTTGATTCTAAACTATATCTTAGTAGGATCATTTTTCAGGTGGTTTTTTCTGATACATCTGTTTCGTGAATTTCGCAAAGCTCAAAAATTGTGTTTTTGGAAAAGAGCTTTAAAAAATGAAGATGTTTTCCAACCAAAAAATGGTTTTGTAAAAATTTTTTGAGCATTTTGTCAGTTATGACGCTACTGTTGATGGTTTTCTGTCTTACTTCCATCAATGTTTTTTGATATTTTTAACGTAATAACAATTAAAGGGCAGTCAGATACAAGCAATTGCTGTTTGCCCTGATACGACGAGCAGTTTTATTTACAAGTAGGCCCAAGTTCAGTTTACAGAAACTGTTTTTTTTAAAGTTTCATCAATACTACGGGTTTTTATCAAAAAATACGCAGAATACTCAAGAATACGTGTCTGCTACCAAAAATTAGGAAAAAAGTATCTGCATCCAGAAGTAAAAATTTCGACAAATAACTAGTTAATACAGTAAAAAAAATGACGAATTATTTTTTTTTCGCTGCAAAGAATTTTGTTCTGTCGTTCTTTAAGCATATAATTTCTTTTCAGTTTTGATAGCAGAGGTTCTTAGGCTTTTTGCAATAAAATCAAAAAATAAACCAGCTGATTTCGCATAACTTTAATGAAAACCCATAAAGTTATCCAAACCCGCAGAGAATTTGAGCCCTGGGCCCATAAAAACCCAAAAATTCGACGTGAAAAGTTTTGTTAAGTTACCAAATTTCATCAAAAGCTGTTTTTAATTATTGTTTCTAGTCAGAAACAACAAAATTTTTGGAGGAAATTAGCTATAAAACCAAGTTTCAACTTATAAAGGGTCATTAAAAAATTTAATTAAAAAAAATTTCAACAATAAAAACTCGTTTAACTTGAGAATCTTTCTAAGTCGCAAATTCTAATTTCTCTACTCGGTCGTGAGTGTCGAGGCATGTCATTTTTCTGTCTAGCTATTCAAAAGATATTTGTTGTGTGTTAAACAAAGTAAAACAAATTAGCATGAGATCGACAAGTCAGAAAAAAAACACAAATTGAGCCTAGATGTTGTTCAAAGGGGTGGAGAGACACATAGGTCAAAACAATCGCCTAAAAAAGAGAAAAATTCAGAAGAACTTAAACAAGGCCAACAACCTAGCTTAGGGTGAATCAATTTGCGGTAATAGTCAAATAACAAGGAGATGAAGATTTTTCCGCATAAAAAATGGAGGATAGACCAAACGATCACAGAAGAACCTGATCCAGTAGCGGATTTAGGGGCGGGGGAGGGGGGCGGACGCCTCTTCTCTCTGGGATTCTACCCCCTGCCGACCCAAAGACTGCCCGCATGGTACTATTTTGAGATATCCATTTTTGGCTGACTGACCTTCGGCGCCAATCTTCGGCGCCAATCTATACTAATTTTAAGGAGCGCACGCCAAAAAAACGCGATTTTCTGGTCAAATTTTGCCAGCGGCGCGGAAAATTTGGTTCTAATTAGGGTCATTATCATGGTTTGGGGTAGCTCAAAAAATCAATTTGGTCGACTTAAAAAAAAAGGTCGACAAAATTTTCAAAATTTTTTTGAAACTCTGCCCCCACTCGAGAAATTCCTAGATGCGCGCCTGACCTGATCTAATAAAAAAATAATACTGAAATGTGTGACCAATTTTTATGCAGGAAGGTAGTTTTCTCACTCAGAATTGAAAGAAATTTTCATTGGTATGTAAACACTTAGAACAAAATTTTCAGAAGTACAATTTTTTTTTAAACATGCCTTACATATTAAAATCTTTTGAATTGTACCAAATAAATTTTGAAAAAGTAAACATTTCTTTAGAGAAAAATCAACCCGAGCCAAAACAGTTTCTTTAAAAATTGGAACACATATTTTCGTAGATTTATTCTGTTTTGCTCCGACGGATTTTTCATTTCTCTTTTTAGGACAAATTTTGCCTATTTAATTAACTGATTTTGACAGAATTTTGATCTGATTAACTTTTTGTAAAACTAAGTTGGCTTTACGTGCAAAGTGTTTGGCCAAATAAACATTCCAATTTGAAATGAGACAACTTGATTGTTTCTAATCACTCCCTACTAAGTATTTGAATTTTTTTGATACTGTCTGTGGATAAGTTTACAAAGTCGGGGCGAAACTTTGCATCACTTGCGGGTAAACAAAAACACAGCATGACCAACTCACCGTCAAAAAACTAGACACACAGGTGAAGGCGTAGCACTGCAAGCTAGCAAACAGAAAATGAATAAGAAATAACTAACTTGATAAAAAAAATTAGTTTTTTTAAGAAAAAAGAAACTTCGAACTTCAAAAACTCTTGAATTACAACCACCAGCACATGAGAAAATTTTAGTATTAACCGAGCAGAAACTACGCCCACAAACCGTGGTTAGACACCTTTTGGGCCAAAACGAATATAAAAGCCGGAAAAAATTGTCATAAAAAATTTGAACGATTCAGTTTGCTTTTTGAATTTTGATACCACAATCGGCCTGAACTTTTCGAAAGAGCAATAAGCCATTTTTGCGCTTCAAACAATACAATTAAAATTTACAAAATTGACAAATATATAAAAGATATACAAGTCAAGGTTAGTAAGCTTACGAAATACAAAAGTTAATCAACAACACTTGCCATTACAACAAAAATTGTTCTCAAAACAAAAAAACCGCGAACTGGCAAATAAGTCAACAAGACAGGCGAGAGTTCTACTACTCAATTTTGACTAAAAATTTCAATTTATATGAACCAAAAAAATCAATTTTCGACAGGGACTCGAACCCTAGACCTTAAGCTGCAATAGCAACCGCGTCACCTTCAAACCAAATGGGAAAAAAAACTAGTTTTTCAAGGTCAAAAATGAAACAAGTTAAATAGAAAAAGAATATTGCATTATAAGAAATTGAAAACAAAAAAAGAAAAGTCAAAATGTTTATCTTGAAAGTCAGAATAAAAAGATAAAAAATTTTAAATTCAGATAAAAAGAAAAATTCATGTTCACTAAAAAAAAATTTATTATGAGCCTGAGATAAAATTCGGAATCTTTTAAAGAGCGGAAAATGAGCCGACAAAACATGGGTGGACTCCCGCAAAATCGAAGACAAATTTGTAGTCATTAAAAATTTGAGCGTTAAGGCTCTGACACTGAACACTTTTAGGGTCCATTCCTCATGCAACAGCCAAAAACAGTAGAAATTACTTTCTCCAAATTATATAAAAGGAGATGACTTAACTAATAAAACATAAGCCGAAACCAATGAATTGGAAAAGGAATTATTAAAAAAAATTTGTTAAAATCAGAATTGATAAGTTTACTTTTATTGAACAATTATCAGTTTGAATACAAAATGTTTTTATCAGAACAAAACCATTTTTGAAGAGAAAATTACTGAAAACGCGTACAAGATAACAAAAAACCGCTGAAAAAACGGAATGAGCAGAAGAAAAAAATTCTTTTTTGTTTTTTAATTCTGTGAAAGGTTTGGTTTTTTTTTGAAAAAATTATATATTTTTTTGTGAAAAAACTACTGAAAACACTTTGTAAAAAGCAGTCAGACAAATTAGACCTTCAATACATTACTATTCTCCATATTGTTCTGAGTTTGAAAAAAGCGATGGAAGACTTGCGCGGGGCGTAGTTTTAATGGCATACTAGTTCGGCTTAGAAACTATTTCAAACTGATATAAGGCACGCTATTTGATCCAAATATGTGTTAGTAGATGCGAATTTGTTCTATTGAAAAAACTCTCAAAAATTCTCATTTTCAATTTTTTTTTCAATTTGGAGAAAAAATTTACTTGATTCTTGATAAAGCTATCGGAACTTTAAGAGCTTCCCCCTGAGCAGTCTTTTTCTTTGGCAAGATCGCGCCAAAATGCCAACTGGAAGAAAAATAAAACTTGCCGTCGGATAGTTACCGCTTATATTGCGACCAAAACATTCTTAATGAAAAGAAAATTGAACAGTTTCCTAAGTTTTTTCCAATATTGAATTTTTCCCACCATTTATAGTTGATTCCCAATCGTCAATCCTTTCGTTTACCTTGAGGGAAATAGTTTGTCATTTTAAAACTGAGAGGAATTTTGCACAGGTAAGCCGAAAGGGTTGGCGATTGGTTTGGTTTACTCTTTCACCTAGAACAAATTGTTTCAAAATTTATTATCATTAACAGCACAAAAATATATACGAGTTGAAGCAAATTTAAAACGACATAAGTTCCAGAATCTTACGTTAACCGAACATGAGTATCAATTTCAGTTTGACAAATAGATTCCTACATCGACTCTTTTTTTCGGTTCGATGTTTCATTTGGCCTCTAAGTGAACTTTTGACCTTCATTACTATGTAGTCTAATCTTCGTCATCTTCCTCCTCCTCTTCCTCGGCTGCCTCCTCGCCCTCGGCTCCCTCTGCCTCGTTGGCCTTCAGAGCAGCCTCCTCCTCCACTGTGGGGTCATCTGCCTCTGTGACTTCTGGCCCAGTCGGGTACTCTGACATGGCTGGGGGAGTGGGCACGGGACTGTAGTTCTCAACCTGAAAAACACACCCAGTTTTTAGAACAATCATTTTTGCGATAATTAAAACATCTGTCAATGTTCGGGTAAATTTTTCTTTTTGTGACGTTCTATTATCAAATCGAAATCTGTTCTAAATCGTAATAATTTCGAAGTGATAGTCTTGTCAAATAATCTATCAATCTTTAAAGAGCGTACTAAAATTGACGACAATTTATTGTACAATTTTTTTTTGAAAAATTGAACCGCATCTTCGAAAGTTAATTCTACCACAAATTATGTTTGCAAATGACTTCATTTGATAGTTTTGTCACTCAATGAAGTGCTCTGATCTATGTCCAAATTTTACTCAAGACGAGATAAGAATAATTTTTCGTACCGAGTACTTGATACCATTGCCTATGTAGACATTCTCGAACTTCTTGTCGAACCCAATGGTAACAGCACCAGGCCACAAATTACTCTTCACCACTGCCATCGCGTATTGGCCTATCCGGGTGGACGACAACTTCAGGGTCCACGGGGAGGCTCCATCGATCTCGTTGTCTTCCGAGATGGGCGTGAGGAGGGCGGGGCCTGACTCTGGTTCGGGCTCGTCCGGTTCCTCTCGCTCCTCCTCGTCTTCTTCCTCGTCCATTTCTTCTTCGCCTCGCTGGGCTGCGGGGTTAAACCACGTGCATCTGAAATCAAAAGCAATTTGACTTAGGATGTAAATTCTATTTTGAGCTCTTCTTACATTTCCCCTCACCAGTGAGAATTTACTAAAAAAAATTTGTTTCACACCGTCCTATTATAATACAATTTAGCATATGGGTTGATTAGTTTCTTTCAAAAACATTTGGTTTTCTTGCCTAACCTCGAGAAGTGGTTAAAGCCCTATTTTATAAATAATGTTTCAACCTAATTTTAGGACGCTTAAAAGTTTTTGATTCAACATTGTTTTAACTTTGATCAAACGTAGAAAATGAATAAACATTTTCAGCACGATGATGCAAAATCTTTTTAGTTTGTCAAACTGCGTGGAACGCAAAACTTTTATATACCTGAAAAAACTCATTCGAATTCTTTTGATAAACAAAGTTGTCACACAGATATTTACGAAATGTGGTATCATTAAAATGTCATTGGCTGAAGATAACAACCTTTCTCAGTCATTTGTGAAACTATTATAATGCTTCTTTTTGTCTATTTTAAGGAAATCCAAAATACTTGATAGTACAAAAGACAATGGCGGGGATATTTTTTACAGGGCAGGAAAGTTATGATGGACAAGACCCAGTAAAAGAGTCAGTATTCATTTGCATCGAGCGGTAGAGATAGGATGTTAGCTCTACTTTTTACAAACATTCGGATCTCTATTCTGATTTTGTGGCTATTTTTTCCCTCACCTTCGAGTTTCAATTTTAAGAACTTATTTAACATTGACAGTATGCAATGAAAATTGACGTAATGAACAAACTAACAATTGTTGGCTCTTTTTCCTTCCCCCCCACCTGCAAATTTTTCAATATGAAATTACTGTTCACTTTGTCCGATTGTCATGAAAATTGACATGCAGACTGAATAGGCCATAACAAACATATTTGGTCTTCATAATTTTAACCTTGTAAAACCACTCGCTAGACCATAAAATTCATGTTTGTGTGAGGTGGGGGGGGGGGGGGAAGGAAAAAGAGCCCAATTATTTTCCACTTTCCCCTACCTTAAGTTTCAGTTTTGAAAAACTACTTAAGCGTGGTCAGAATGCAATGAAACTTTGCATAATGCATTAACTAACAATTGCGAACAGGTTTGTTTTTTAATATAACATCGTAACATTGCGCATTTAGCTAAAAAAACACGTACAACGGTATAACAACTATAAAATAAGAAAACTTGAAAAGTGGAGGAAAGTAGAAAAGTGCCGATGATGACTCCCTTCCCCCGCCGCATGATTATCGATTTTATGGTGTAACTACTGGTTTTACAAGGCTAAGTATGAACTCTAAATATGTTTGTCACGTCTTAGTTAGCCCGTATATCATTTTTAAGGCTCTGTTTTCCAGTCTTTTCGTAAAATTACAATAAAAATTTGTTAAAAAATTCGAGTTGCAACTCAATTTTTACAAAAAACGAAGGCGGACTGGAAAAAGCCCATCACGCAGATAACCATACGAACACGTAAAACAATTAAAAAGAAAATTGGAGATGTGGGGCGTGGGAAAAAGCCCATTTGATATATGAAAAATGCCGTATGCGCAACTTTAAAACAATTTTGTGTTGTAACGTTGCAAGAAACGTATGAGATTGGAAGGCGGTCTCAAATTTCAACAATTTTAAATATAGAATGAATTTATGGTTTTAAATAATGTTTAAAATACGAGGCCAATTACATCAACAAGGCTCTCACTCAAGCAATCAGAATATTTAAGATACAAAACAAGTCTCACCTGCCCTGAGGTAGAAGATACTGAACATGGTGCACCCAATTGGCATTAGACGGGTCCACCAAGTCACGTGCAGTCACCCCTTCGAACTCTGGGTTTTCAATGTAGTGGTCACGTGCTGCATCTTCCTCCGGCTCCTCCTCTTCCTCGTCGAACATGTAAAAATTAATTGGACTAATGTTGGTCGAAGCTGTGATTCGGGCAATTTGGGCTCTCAGGTAACTCTTCTCGGTTCCAGGATACGGCGGGTAACTCAAGACAGGAGCGTCCAAATCTCCCGTGAACAACTTTTTGATCCGTCTTGCTCCATCGATTTGAGCAGGTGTTACACACGGAAGTCTTGTCCAATCTTCGCCGAGTTGACTCGTGGCAAAGTAAGTGAATTTGTTCACTCCGTAGCCTTTTTCTTCGTGAGGAATCACAACTGGTGCTTTCCAGTCGGGTTTCGGAAGAGGGTCCTCGAGATTTTCAAGGTTTGTAGCTTCGTCCATGGGAGGTTTAGCCCCCAAGTTTGGGTTCGGCTCGATGTAGGTTTCCTCTTCGGTGTCCTCGCCTTCCCGGAACTCCACCTCGGCGACGTAGTAGTCTGCATTCGTGCCCAAAACTTTTCCCCAAAATCTCACTTTCTGAAGAGGGTAGATGTCTACAAGCTGCCTCAAAGCAAGGTAAATTCTAAACATTTCTTCACGGCTCAAGCCTACTCCTGCTTCTTCGAAATAAAACGCATTTTCCATCAGATTCGTCAGAGGAGTTAGGACTTCTTCCTCACCCTCAGGCGGCGTAATTTCGTCATCTTCGGCTTTGCGAAACAGTTTTTTCTGTGTTTCGGCTATTTGATACGCTTTGGGTACAACTGGTTTGTCTTGAACTGTGTCGAACTGAGGCTTGAACAAACTTTTCTTCAGGGCTTTGCTGATGTCTTCGAAGGCGTCGACTGCATTTTCGGGTTTTTCTGAGATAATTTTGGTGATTATCTTACACATGTGATCGTAAACATTGATTCCGTTTTGATTAACAGTTGACAGCATGTATGCTTTCGCATTTTGGAAATCAGCTTCTTTTGCAGAAACGTGAATATCTTCCTGTTCGGCCATTGATGTTTTGTTTCAAATTTAATAGATTTAAAAATGCGTAATAAACGTATAAATTTTACGTTGATGAATAGATAAAACTGTTTGTGCAAAAAATGAACCACAGGTAGATTATTTTCGCACGTGCCTTTTCATTTTGTTTTGTCTGCAGAAACGATGAGCACCGTAGTATAGAGTCAAATTACTTGGTTAAAGTAACGTACAAAATTAATAAAAAACACTATTTGTACCGAAGGAATATCTAGAATTATCTCGGGTGTGGGCGGATAAAAATGATTCATAGAACCAAAAACGGTTCGAAATAAATGTCATTTTTTATTTCAATTTTTTTTGAGATCTTGGCTCCGGGCAAATTTGAAAATAAGCTGTTTCAAGGTGCTTTTTGGGAAGCTTTCTCAATCACGCCCTCTGCTCTCTGTTGAAATTAAAACTGACACAGAAGGGGCTTTTTTTCCTTTCGCCTCCACTAAATTTTTATCGGTAATTTTTCTGTTCACATTGAGCAATTGCTACTAAAATTGGCATGCGGGCTAACCAGACAATGACAAACATATTTGTTCTTTACACCTAACCTTGGAAAACTCTCCTCATTACACCATAAAACTGATGCTCACTATTTGGTGGGGGGAGAGCCGCCGAAGAATATGGGACAGAAACTAAACCATATTAAACCAGAAATAGTTTGTCGACAGCTTACTGATTTTCCAGAGTCTCCCATAGCAATATAAAGACCCTCTTTTGCCTCAAAAAATTATGCGGCGCAGGATGATTGTTTAAAAAGGCCAAAAAAGGAATTCAAGGCTTTTTTTTCAAATATTTTGACTTACAGAATAATATTTTTTTTGGCACGCGACGGTTTAATTTATTGTATACACGCCAAAAATACACCTAAAATAGGGGTTTCTGCTCTTTTTCCCCTAAATATTATCGTTCTTAACCTGACTCTAATATATAAAATAAAGAACGCACTTTTCTATACCCCTCTTAAAAGATTTTTTTCCACTGTCAATGTGTTCCAATGGTAGTCAAAGTGAAATGTTTCAGATTATGTGATTCTACCAGGATATTTGGTAGTTTTCTTTTTTCATCCAACTCATACAAACATGAATTTTAAGTTCGTTAGCATATTTATGAGCCAGATAAGCACTCAGCCAGAAATAAAAGCCGCTGAGGTATATGATTGAGTCTTGGCAGAGTTGTTCAGTCACAGCGGTTCCTGCCCGGCCCCAGAGTGGGATGAAACTATTGTCTGGGGTGTTCGTTCCCACACGAAAGAACCTGTAAGTGTGGAATCACATCAACGATCTTTCAGAATTGATTCAGATTCAAAAAGATTTAAAAGTTAACTGTATTGAAAAAACTGGTCAAAACTTTTCTCTTTTCATACTGATGTACCGTAAGACTTCTGATAGCAAGTCAATCTCAACCTAATTTTGCAGTTAATTTACCCTATTTATGTTATGTTATCTAGAAAATTTGTTATCTAGAAAATTGGATATTTGAGAAAAAATATCGTGGTCAGAAAACTTCTTAATTAGAAACAGGTTTCTCGTTTGCTGTTGCAAAATCCCTTTATAAAAAATTGGGTACTAGATAAGAAGTATGGTCCCGTTACAATCTTCGTTTCGAAGCCTGATAACGGAAAACTACTTTTTTTCCCATATAAAAGCCAGACAAAAAGACTATTTTATGGTAGTTTCTGAGTTCTTCCGAATTATTTTGTTAAAGGTAAACCTCCTTTAGAAATATTACCCCAGTAAACTCCTATGTGGTCTGTGGTCTCATATAAAATCAGGCTAAACGATTATTAAAGGTAGTTTTGGAGCTCTTCCGAGTTGTTTTTCCTTATTGTCATCATTCTATTCTTTCTTCGTTAATTTAAAAATTACAACTCGCAAAATTGCAAATAGTTTTTTCGAGGCGCTTAATTTAAAGATACGGTTGATTGAATTACAGAACTATTTTTTTAAACTATTTTTAAGTTTTGCCGATATATTGATATTTTTGACAATTCCGATTTGTAGATAACCCTAGTAGTAGTAAATCTGTTTGTTTTCATCGACTAGAAATACTTCAATTAGGTTTCAATTGGCTTAGCGGAACCACACTTTAAAAAAGCTTTATAAAACGGCTTCAAAAAATGGCGGTATCAGACAATTTTTTTCTTAATGTGCACACATCAAAGTTTCGACCACATTCATCGAAAAATTTACTGAAAAACAAAAAAGAAAACTTGATTTGGTGGGAAAAACTCAAATGAAGATGGTAAGAATTACAACCAACATAAAAAGCAAGTTTCGCTTAGAAGGATATTTAAAATGCTCATATGATCAAACTATGTTTAGTATTATTTTCCACTGAGTTCAAATTTTTTTGAAACGTTTGTACTGTTGTTCGAGAGCATAAGTTTCCTTCAATTTAGAAAAAGACATTGTAATGGAGTCAGTGAAAAAGAAACAGTTAAGTTTCAAAGAAAAAAACCTTACAGCTCTTTTAATTTCAAAAATCTTATATCAAACTTTTCGTGCTTATGATACAACATTTTTCCGTGCCATTTTACTTTCGTTACAGGAGAGCGTAAACTGCCTCCTTTTAGCAAATGAATTTTAATCGACCTTAAAAGTGAGACAGCAAAATTTTAAGACTTATGCTGAGAATAAAAAACAAAAAGAACTAAATAAATGCCAATAATTCGTTCATTCACTCTTGATCGAAGTCTGGTCTTAGATTTTAAAGTTATTTCAACCGGCACACAACATGAGACAAGTCTACTATCCGGAAATATATATATATTTTCATTATAATTTTTCGCCGGTTATTTCTTTGCACTAGTTACTGTTCATGGTAAGATGTTAACTTCGTGAGCGTCAAATCGTGTATTCAATCCCCTGTCATGATAATGATGTTGCGAGGTGACGAGCTTTCACTTAAACACTAGTTTCAAGTCATGGAAAAAAAACTGGTAAGATGTTAACTTCGTGAGCGTCAAATCGTGTATTCAATCCTCTGTCATGATAATGATGTTGCTCGGGGACGAGCTCTCACTTAAACACTAGTTTCAAGTCATGAAAAAAAACTGGTCAGATGTTAACTTCGTGAGCGTCAAATCGTGTATTCTATCCTCTGTCATGATAATGATGTTGCGCGGGGACGAGCTCTCACTTAAACACTAGTTTCAAGTAAACCTCAGCCTGACCGATTTCGGCTGAAATATTTGCACCACGTGAAAACTCTGGACACAAAGAAACGGCCTTGAGAGTCGCAAAAAATGTTTGCACAGCGAAACAAGACTGCTCGTATCACGGCGAAGCCCTGATTGTCCCGACTGCCTTTTAAGGTTTATGGAGCAGTAAAACATTAAAAAATTTAATGAAATAAAACAAAATGAAATTTTTTTTCTTCGAAAATTTGGAATTTTTTAATGAAAATCATCCCCCCACACGCCATATAAAATACGAAAGGATAGATTTCGCTCCTTGTAACAAATCACTTATGGCAACTTCTTTCAACCAATTTGGAACGATTTATAAGACGGATTAAATCTCTGCTTACGCGTTAATAGCGCAAAATATATCGCGCGTTAATTGTCCCAAATTGGCAATGTTTAAACCCCTGTAACTTTACGAAAAAGGATCACAGGTGAAATATCTTTTCAAATATGAGCTCAGGACAACAATATCTTTCGAATGATATTTGAAAAATTCCGTCAAAAATGGCTAGTTAAAAAGTCGAATTTTGTCTGAAGAAAAAAAAACCACCCCGAGCACAAATATTCCGTCACTTTCGTATCGTTAATTATAGTTAACTCTTTTTTTCTGTCGTCTTTTGATGAACATATAAATTGCAGTTACAAAAATTACTCGCATGAAAATTAGCACAAAAGTTAAGAAAAAGGTATATTTAATTTAAAATGGTTTAATCTCGCAAAAACAGCAAGTTACCGGTTTTAATACGCAAACACAACAAAAACAGACAAAATACTTATTTTTTTTTGCAAGTATGACATCAGTTAAATGGTTTTGGCAAACTTTAGAGCAAAAGGCAACTCCTGTTCTTGTAAAAGCTTTTGTGTCTCTTATGTAATGAGAACAACATAAAAAAAAATTATTTAGCACTGATGACAACGAAAAGTCGTGAGTTAAATCTCGATTATTTTTACAAATGGGCTAGTCAAATGGCACGAACTTTTTAATCTTATTTTTAAAAAAATTAGATACTCCGCCTATTCACAGAGGGCAGCACAGCGTAGAACACAACGGACAGCTGAATACATGCTAAAATCATTCTCAATCATCCCACACTCAACCAAATGAATCAAAATAGGTCTCTTATGGCTAACTCTGTCTTATTCGTTGCCTTTTTGGTTTTTTCTTTCTCTTAGTAACTGTTTCGCCGTGAAAGTCCTTTATTTATAATTTTGTTACATTTTGCGTTCACAGTATAACTCGAGTCTCTCAGTATAACTCGATTATACTGTGAGTGCAAAATGTAACAAGACTGCTCGTATCAGGGCGAAGCCCTGAATGTTCCAACTGCCTATTAATGTTTATGGAGCAGTAATAACAAAGAACACAAAAAAATTAAATGAAATAAAATAAAATGATAACGTTTTTTTTTTCTAAAAATTGAAAATGTATCTATGAAAATCATCCCCCCACACGCCATATAAAGTACAAAACAAAAAATTTCGCTCCTTGTAACAAATCAATTATGGCAAATAAGCTTCTTTCAACCAATTTGGAACGATTTCTAAGACGGATTAAATCGTTAATAGCGAGAAAAAAATCGCGCGTTAATTGTCCCAAATTGGTCAAAATGGCAACCTTTAAACCCTCGTAACTTTGCGAAAAATGGTCACAGGTGAAATATCTTTTCAAATTTAAGCTCAAGACAACAATAGCTTTCGAATGATATAAAAAAAATTCCGTCAAAAATGGCTAGTTAAAAAGACGAAATTTGTCTGAAGAAAAAAACCCACCCCGAGCACAAATATTCCGTCACTTTCGTATCGAAAGTCGAAACAATAATTCAGCGTGGAATGTGCGGAAGTAAGAGAAACAGACAATGCTTAGACAGGTTGAAAAAGTTCGATAGATCCTTTGCGAATCACAGAAACCACATAATATATTTAACTTGTTTTACAGTTCTCCTCGCAACGGGCATAAAAGCTCAATCAAGATTTCAATTTCGTTCAATTAATTCATAACATAAACACAATAAAATGAATGGTCAAGCTTTTAATAAGTTTTCATCTTTGATTGGAATTTCCTCTTGGACGCCATACCTCCAGCATTTAATTCTCTTGGATGAAGAGCAGTTACATATGGAGGCGTTCTTTTACACGATCCTAAGCCCTGCCAGTATGTACTTTCTTGATGCAACATTGCACTCTGAGGTATCGGCAAACTACCTGAACACAAAAAACTTCAATTCGTTACATTCTCAACCAAATAAACATGTTCACATTGTTCGATTGTTATGAAAATGACATAGGGACTAATAAGGCCATGAAAAGGCATACTTGTTCTGCATAATCAACCTTGTAAAACTACTCGTTACACCATAAATTGATGCTCGTATGAGGTGGGGGAAAAAGAGCCAAATACACCTTTGCATCACCATTTTTACAAACATTTACCAAAATTGATAACAAAAATTAACAAAACTAACGTCTGTTACCCACAAGTCAAACAAAAAAAGAAAACAGGAAAAAAATGTGTAATAGTTCTTTTCAACTAATTTGTAATCAGGCGCATTTTCACGCCACAACCTCAGGAAACGCCCAGGTATTTAAATGGCTGGCAACGAATGATTGAGTTAGGACTCGCCTTTGCTGATGATTGGACAGTTGTGTAACTCCTCTTCGGAGAGATCAGTGATAACTAACATCGTACCACTCTCTTTGTTAATATCTGAAACATCAACTCTTCATTGGCTGCCTTATATCCATTCAAGCATAGCAATTTCCAGAAAAAATGTCATTGCGCTGACAATCAACTATCGTTTTCTCTTCAACTTTAATTACCCCAAGTAAACATGTCATGATATCGAGAGATAAATGTAAGAAAAAACCATGTGTCATAATTTCCAAAGATGGACCTATTTTTTGGGGGAGGGGGATGAACAAAACTAAATCACAATCAGCTACAAAACTTATTACTACTAACCTGTTAGAATTCCAAATCCGATTACCATTCTCAAATTCTTCTTTTGACACTCCTCCGTTGCCACTTGAAATGCCCCGTCATCGACCGAAATAGGATTAACGAAACTTGATCCTTCCTCAAGCTTGCAAAATGACACCAGTGTCGCATTCAAAGCCATCAAAATTAATTTGGGATTGAAGCATGCATTTATTGGACAGACTTCCAAAACTTTTCCAACATAGGAGACAGATTTTCTTGGGAAGTCTAACAGAGTTATGCTAGTTTTTTGTTCATGATTATCTCCCGAAAATGTCAACGATTCCATTTTTTGATGGAAATGTGTCAGACAACGCAGCTGGCGTTCATTAGAAGCATTCTGTGACCTGGTAGCTTTATGTGGCCTCGTTAGAGTAATTGCCAGCAGTTCAAAATTGACATCTCCCAACGCTGTGTTCGGCCGCAAATTGCTGCAAGACATAACAGTATGAGGATCCATTTCAACAACGTTAGTTCCTTCAACTATAAATTGAACCGTATGTGTAGGTTGAAGTATTCTTATAACATTAGAAGTAATTTCGAAACCTAGGCCAATTTCGAGCCAACCAGGCATATTAAAAATTACAGGAATGCTCGATTTGAAATTTTTGTTAACAAATTCGATTGCGGACTCAACTGCATTTAGATACATAATAAGAACATCAGCAATGTTCACAGCCCCAACAAAGTAAGAAATTGCCGGCTTTCTCATATGGCAAAAACTTGGACCGAAAACGGGTTCCGTTAACTCCAATACTGATACACACCCTGGTAAGGTAAACTCCGGTTGTCCGATATCTACATCTAGCCATATTACACTTTCAAATTGTTCAGAAGTCAGTAACAAGTTAGCTATAAACAAACCAGTAGTACTTTTACCCGTATTTTTGGTACCACATATGCAAAACTTAGTCCTCTTAGAATTCTTTTGATCTTCGACTGCTTTCAAAATGAAGTTTTCGACTTTATCGTCAAGTGGACAGTGAAGATCTGTGTCCGTAGAACAAAATGCGTCGGAATTGTTGTCATCGAAGATGAAGAGCTTTTTGAATTCATGGTATCGAGTCAATGTTTGAATAGCCGAAAGCTCCAGAAAGTCTAATTTACTAACACGTACTTGGCTAATATCAGACAACGCTTGGAGATTAATTTGCATACCACCAATACTTGGACAAACAAATTCAAGCTCGGTTCCTTCAGCTGCTTCAAAACAGTTGATATTTATCTCACCAGATATTATTTGTAGACGACAGCAGCCTCGAAGCGTTGTTTTCTGTCCAAGACCTAGATCTAGCGTGAAACTTTTATCAATACCCTTGTCATTGAAATCACGATTTGGCTCTAATGCTGAGCGTAGTAGGTTATTTGTACTCGTGAATACTTCTTCGGCGGCTTTTAATTCCATGATTTTTGTTTTAGATTTACGTTTCAAGTGCAAATGGGCAACCGCAGTTAATGGTTTCTTTTGTTTCGCAATATCTTTAGCCGCATTAATTAGTGTTTTCAACTTCTTTCCATGCAGTGATCGTTTCTTTTTAGACTTTAAAGACAACTTATCGCACGAGCCCTGCTCATTTGTTGCCTCTGATTTCTTTTCATGAGCGCCCATCTGAAAACCGATGACAACGTTTTAAAACTACCAACCAAGCCCTGATTTAGTAAAACAATAATCACAAGTCTTTTAGTTCTACTTCCAGTAAAACGACGAAAATAAAATTCCTTACCTAAGTTTTATAAGGAGCGGGACAAAATTCGGTGTTTTTTCGAGCTGAATTATAAACCTAAAATTTAAAGTTAAAGTTAAAGGTTCATTTTGATTCGCAATACACTCAATAATCAGGCTAAAACTATAAAATCTCTTTGGACAATTACTCTCAGAATGTTCCTCTGAACGAGTTCATAAAAATTATCTAACAGAAAGGCTATTGAATATGGTGGCCAGCAAGGTACCTCTCAAGTGTAAACTAGCTAAGATCTAGCTATGGGTGCTTCACTTGCGTTTATTCCAGCAAACCTCTGGCTCAAAAAGTACAAATTGGCTCTTAGACAAGAAATACCTGCTGGAGTATATGAATAGTTGCAGCAAAAAGAAAGTAAGATAAAGACAAGAAGATGAAAATGCGAGAAATGCCTAGACTGGTACCCTCTTAGCAAAAACATCTCAAAACCTGCACACGTAAAAAAAAACAAACAGTTTGTTATTGCGAAAGCTGATACCCTGCCAAATAACAAAGAGACATTCAGCACAGGCTAAGTTAATTATCAGTTATATAGATGAAATTAAAAAAAGGTCGAAGGCGATCCCACTCGCACACTTGGTGCGTCAATTATCTTCATCCAAACCTTCACTTCACTCTATTAGAAGTGAGTCAGAGCGGAAATTTAGCTTCCATGGGATTGATAAAATCTGTATAATGGTAAATGAATGACCTTGAACTGTATTAAAAAACAACGGATATCGAGGTCATACTGAAATTTAGGAGCTGCCCCCCAACTAAGTACAAGCAAAGTGTTATTCAATGCACTCACTATACATAGTTTTAGAAACCCTTGAAAGTCATATTTTCAAGGAAATAGCTTAATCAGAAAGGTAGCAAGACAACAGAGTGGTTGATTTGAAGCAGTTTGCTAAAGCTATGGGCATTTTAATGGTGCACAATGGAGGAAAAATCAGTTGAATTTTCCCCCAAAGGTTGTAGCAGATGCCCTGATCAAAACAATTGAGGATAAGAACTAGCCTAATGCTTCTGAGAAGATTTAGTCGAGCCAAGTTAAACCGATTGAGAAGCCTATCATGTGGAGGTTTCAAAACAGATAAAAACCTCAGCCAATATTTTACTAACAGGCTACAAAATTTAAATGCCCAAGACATTTTCACCATAAGAAAACGAGAAACATGCTGACTGTCACCGGTCAATGTTTACAATGATCGTAAATCAATAAGGGTTTATAAATTGCTTTGAACATAAGTTTGCCTATTTCGGTTGAAACTGTTCAGCATTAGACCTCAATAATTAAGAACATAAAAGCACATTCATCGTCAGGTGTTCATCTTCTATAATATGCATATAATTGAATCAGCTCAGATATTATTTGAGACACTTTAGATGGTTAGAATAACCAAGCAGAATTGCTTTTTATAAGAGACCATATGTCAAAGAAAAATGAAACCAAAAATGAAAAATTTAGGAACAGAGTGTTAATATTACTGTAATCTTAATCATGATTTTCTTTCGTTTTTTAATTGAAAACATGCATAAGCAGTCAGAAAAACTCACTTAAGTCGTTTGTTCTGTTGTTTTGCGTGGTGTGATAATAAGATCCCAACGAAAAATTAGAATTTAGATTTATTCGACAGTCATAGTAAAATAAGCAAAGTATACAACAGTTTTTGTAAAAGGCTGACTAGAAGAACAAAAAATATATACTAAAAAACCAAAAAATATATATATATTTTTTAATTTCCAAAATTCCAAAAATCGCGCTAAAAAGAATGAGTCAACTCGAGTAAAACTAAGTTTTCACGGCTTCAATCAAACATCAATAAGCTCTTGTAAGCATGCTCGCTTGCTTTATTCGCTAGAATTTAGCCTAAAAAAGTTTAATTGTTTTTCTCAATACTGTGACAACTTTTTCGGAATAATCACGACTGGAACAGCTTTAATATGATTTAAAACTTAACCCAATCCGATGTTTATTTGCGATACCTGATTTTGCGTGGAAAACAAAAATTAAAAGACACCCTAATACGAAATTCCTCCCCATACTATCATTGGCTTTTTTTGGTATAAAAATATGACCGATAGCGCTACTGGGAGCCCAGTTTTCGAGTGCTTTCATGAACACAGACGCAAAGCTGTGCTTCGCAAACACCCGCGAGAATACGACAAAAAGCAGCTTTATAAAGTGAAATAAGAAAAGCTCATTTTTGGTAACTGAAACTCTCAGAAATAATGAAATTCAAATTCAACGGATAAGTCAAAAATATGATTAAAACTTTGATTCTACATAACTTCTTAAGTGACGAACGCCAATTATGAGTCTACATAATTGCTAAGTGACGCAAGCCAATTATGACGTATCATCAGTACCAGTCAATTCGAAAAAAAAAACAATTACCAACTAACATGCCTCAATTTATAGAGCGGACATTTTAACTAGTATACGAAAAAGTTCACGAAAAACATCCGACCCTGCCCAGGTTCGAACCCATTTTGTGCGGGTCTCCTTCCCTACCAGATCTATGTTAGCTTGAAGCTAAATGCTATTTGTAATATAATAGTCTGAGTTAATATCCTTGGCATTGGCTGTACTTCATAGCTGGTTATTGATCTTATACCACATACTGCAAAAAAGAACACTTTTTTTTGCAATACAAACTAATATTTGCGACTTAGGTTGAAAAATGAGATTTCATACTACTTTGCTTGTGTAAACAGAAAAATCCAACTCTCAAAAGAAAGGATGGCTCCCTCACTGACAAGGACCAAGAAAAAACAGACATATCAGAGCAGAAAGACCAGTCATCTGGGAATCAGATATTATTTGCGAAAACAGTATGCCAGAAGATATAAGATATCCAACCATATCAGAACTGAAGGAGGATCTCAATAAAGCTAAGTATAATTCTACGTCACTAATAACTTCCAACCCAACCCCGCCAGCACCCAACGAAAATAATTTAGAAATTAGAGTAAATGGAATAAAGGAATATACACGGAAGAAAGATGCAAATGGCAAAGATATAATTGCAACTCAAGACGAAATTTTGTCTCATGATTCGTATGAAATTGAAAAAGTGCTTAACCACCTAGGGGAAGAAACAAACTGTATCGCCGACTTAAAACGTCTAGGAAAATTTGACAAAGACAAACAACGCCCTCGTACTATTTTACTGCGACTGAACAATACCTGGACTGCGAGAAAACTTCTAGCGAAAGCAAAGCAGCTGAAAACCTTCGAGGGAGCAACAAAAGTGTTTATATCTAAAAGTTTGAATAAAGAGGAACAAGAAATAGAAAATAAATTATTGATGAAAAGAAGAGAATTGATTAACGACGGAACAACCACAAAAGATATACGCATAATAGGACTGAAATTATATGTCAATGGACACGAAACCAAAATTGATTGACTATCAAGTACTACGGAAGATTTAGATGTATTATGTTTCAATATCAGAAGTATATACCTTCTTCAGCGTAGAGTGGAGCTTTCATCATTTCTTGCCTCGCAGAACTACAACATTATTCTTATATCAGAAACTTGGCTTACCGATGAACAGGAAGATAGCGAAATTTTTTCTGCCGTCTTATCAACTATTTAGATCTGATAGAAAAGCTCCTAAAGGTCAGACAAAGCACGGAGGCGTTATGATTGGAATTATGCACTCATTTCATTGTCAAAAAATATCACTACCTGAAGAAAGCCAAGGTGCTGCTGTAGGGTGCATAGTAAATTTTCAGAACAGAAAAATATTAATTGTTAGCTTCTACAATCCACCGCAAACCAGCCATTATCACCTTAACGATGAAATGATCAAATTAATTTTTAAAGAAATTGAAACATTGATGTCACAGGTTGATGCAACAATAATCTACGGCGATTTCAACTTGGATATCGCCTGGAACATCAGAAGTAGCGAAAATTGCGAATCTCAGAGTTTCCTTGATGTAGTTGATCACCTTGAACTAGAACAACAAATAGATTTCCCAACAGCTGCTACGGGTACTTTAGATCTCTTATTCTCAAAAGGTGAACTGAATCTCGTCTCAACGAAAGTCAAACCCTTATCCATTTCAAGCATGTCAAACCATTTTCCAATTACAGCAAAGTTTGAAATTCGAAAAGTAAACAATGTTTTCCGATCATACCACAATGAGTCGAAAATGTTCAGCTACTGTAAAGCCGATTTTAAAGCCTTAAATGCGGATATAATAGACAACCCTTTTCAAGGCTTCTGTTGGTCTAACCCTGATGTGTTATTGTCGGACTGGTATAAATGGTTGAACATCAAAATCGAACGCCATGTCCCTACTCGAACAAGGCATCGAGCCAGACTCGCGCCATGGATTACCCAATCCACATCCAATATCATCAAGAAATTGAACACCGCTAAGAAAAAGTACCCAGCTCTGCACAACCGTGTTTTATCTCTACAAAAAGAATGCGATTTTGCCGTTGAACAAGACCAAATTAACTTTGAATCAGAGCTATCTGATTCTAGATCAACTGATAAGCTTTTCAAGTTTTACCGTACATTTAAGTCGTCCAGAATACCATCAAAACTTATTTATGGTAGCAAAGAAGCTCAATCAAATGCCGAAAAAGTGGAACTTTTTGCCGATTTCTTTGACGATAATTTCTCAAAGCCCTCCGATCCTCCAAGTCTTGGTGAGCCTCAAAACTTATCAACCACGAAATTAGATGATTTTGGTATCTCGGAGCAACGCATACAAAACATCTGCAGAACTCTGGACTGTACAAAAGCAAGTGGCCCAGATAAAATACCCGCAATTCTTTATAAGAACTGCTCAAAAAACATCGCTAAATCACTAAATGTTCTTTTCTATAAGATCAAACAAACCTGCATTTTCCCCAGCTATTGGA